CTTAGACAAGTCAAAAGTATGATTCCGGTGATCGCCACGCCTTCTACTTCTCCATCAATACACGTACATGGGATGCAAACATTTGCCTCAATTCATATTGTTGTTGGTCATCCTCTCAGAAGTCAGACATATCTCCAGGTGCCAAAGGCGTCTGGACCACATGGCCGTTAGCCAATGGTATTCTATTGAATAACCGGAATTCAGTCCAGTGCGTTTTCCGATTGCAACCCTCTCCCAGTCCTGAATCTTTTTACTGCCTACCCAATGAGGTATCCCTTTCCGGTACCTTGGTATTATTCTGACATCTAATGTTTCATTTAAGCTTCATAATGAAACCTCCTTCATTAAAATTTGTAAACTTTTACATTAAATCCGTCGGTTACGTTCATATCAAACACCTCAAGCCCTAATCTGGCGATTCACATATGCGTACATTCTCCCTCTCATTCTCTACTTCTCTCCGGCTACTTTTCCAGCCTTGCTTAAAAAGGCTTTTTGGTTTTTTGACGTATCGCCCGAATGGTCTCTTCAGATGGCGGTGTTTCTTATGCTTTTTGGCTGATAGTATAACACAGTGACACTTTACAACGGTCAACCAATTTGCTAATCGAATTTGCTGAGGTTGCTCATCCACTCTACTCTGAATTAATGGCTGCCCGTACTATGCGCCGAATGTTCCGACACAAGTCCTGGCGTACATCAACATATCAGCACTCTGTACTTCCATTCCTAGTATGTTACCTAACGTGTAAAGAAACGGAAATCCAGAAGCTGAAATTAGACTTGTCTCCATAATAGGTGTGGAGGATTTCATGTTAACGTCTAGATTTTTGAATAATTTAATAACCTATCCTCAGTGAATGGAGCCATTTTTGCTGAAATTTTTGGATGTTCGCCCTAAAAATAAGGTATGTTTCCCTACCCCCCCCTCTCTCTCTCTATGATAATTCAGAGAAATTACGAGAGGCTCCGTGTTCATTATTTGTCAGCAGCTTACAGCTAGACAGCTGCCTCCCCCCTATGGTCTTAGCTAACTCGAAGTTATCCAGTTGACGAACTTTAAGACAAGTGTTCCTGGTGGGTGAAAATGGACTGCATGAGTAAATCTCAACCAACGAAAGGATCAGAATGAATATCACTCAACCGTCTAATTTCCCCCCAATAAATGATCACTTCTGCGTAAGTTCCCGTTATCAGATAAACCGGGATGCATGCTGAGTGAGTGATATTTAGATGTCATTCAAGTGAGAGTATCTCACTCCTATCAGTTCATCATCATCGTTGCTGAGCTTAGCTCATCGTTGATGCAACAGGGGTAGGGCATTTATACACTCTAGCGGCTCCCTGATGGACGCATTTGTTGGCTCTTGGAAATTAGAAAACAGCGTTGGTTACGAGGATTATCTGGCCCGTATTGGAGTGGGCCTTATCACGCGCAAGGCCTTAAACGGGGTTAAACCAACGCTGACGATCAGCCTGCTCGGTGAGAAATATGTCATGAAGGAGGAGAGTAAAATCAAGAGCACAGTAACAGTCTTTGAAATGGGGGTGCCCTTCGACGAGCTCACGCCTGCCGGACAGCCAGTGAAGTCTGTTATTACCCTAGAAGGCCTTGAGATGAAGCAGGTTCAGACTGGCCCCCTCAAGAAGATCGAGATCACGCGCGTGGTTGATGGCGCCAATTTGAAAACGGTGAGTCAGAGAGCTTCTGCAACGCCTAGTCGGCTTTCGAATCCGGCGCACAATTTTTATTTGCGTAAACTCGTTAACTGAAAATTCATTTGATATTTTATGCTTCCTTTTAGGTTATCCGGGTGGACGAAATAACATGTCAGAGGACTTATATGCGACTGATGTAATATTAATATATTTGGTAGCTATCACTTTGACTCTTCTTCTCATAAACAGACTCTGGGCCGAGGGGGCACAGAAGAGGGACAATATTTGCATATTTTACGACTGCTTACGTTCCGGGCGCTATACGTACTTACTAGACTTTATATAGTGCCCACGCTTAACAAGTCTGACTTAAATGGAGTACTTTATCACTGATTGTGGGTTTTCCAGAAAATGATTAAGTAGTCGCTGTCGCTGACTTATTTTAATAGGCTCTGAGGAGGCCCTATAGCTGTTAAGGCTAAGATGGTTAGCGCTAACAGCTACAATCTTCCGGTCCCGGTTCCTTAGGAGATGGGAGAAGTCTTGGGAAGGCCAGATTGTTAGGA